ATACATATATATATATATATATACAAAAAGCAAATAGAAAACCAATGAAATAAACAAGTATTAAATATATATCTGTTCAAAAACTATATGACTCCATTAGTTAAGTATTGTAAGCATTAAGAATACAAAGCTAAGAAGTTTTCTTTGAAGCTTTTATCAATATTAAATAGTTTTTAAGATGTTTTGTCTCATCACAACTAAAAAAACAAATTTTTCAAAATAAACTGATTTGAATAAAAAGTTTTCGAACATACTCAAACTGCACTATTTGAATGTTTGAAGATAGTACATTACTGAAAATTCATGTTTTAAGGCATAAAACAAGTTAAGCCAACCTGTTAGAATAAAAAGTCTATAATGGACTAACTGTTCTTTATTACAAGTTGTGAACCGAAGATGAAATGAAACATCTCAAAAAAATATTTAACTTTTAAAACCTTCAAAAGGACTCCTTAACTTTTAGCATTCTTAATATAAACATTAATTTATAATATTTAAATATATAATTATTTCAATTATCATCTGTATTTAATTTCATATATTGTACTATTATTATTTGATATATAATTTAAAAATCGTAATTGAATTTTATCTTGGCAACTTTTATTCAATTTCAACATAATTGAAGATTTTTTCTATCATTAAAATTTTATATAAAAAACTTTATAATGAAATTATTATTTACAATAACTTTCTAATTCAAACTTACTTTATATAATAATACTTATAAATACAAATAATTTATAAATTACTACTTAATTAGCATTTCAAAAATTTATAAACAATTTATAGATACTGTATAACAATAATAAATTTCATTGCTCCCTTCAAAATGCAAAAATTGTCCAAACATCTGGTCTAAAGGTACACATACATATATATATAAACAATACCTGATAGCATACAGCTTTGGTATTACAATGTATCAGGTTTAGTAGAGTTATTTGTTTATATATATGTCAAATAAAAATAATATCAGACTGGAAGTCCGGGTAGCATAATTGGTAATGCATCTGCATGGTAAGTGGAAGTTGCAGGTTCGAGTCCCACTCCAGGCTGATTCTTTTCTTTCAGTAGATCTAAATTCTAATTCAAACATTTCATCTCAAACACTTCCATTTAGTTCTAAGCAAAAATCCAACATCTTATAAAACTTAAATTACTAATACAGTGAAACCTGTTACGGCAACCACCCACAGTTCCTTCAAAAAGTGGTCTTTTAGACAAGTAGTCGTCCAATACAAATGATGCTGTAATATCATATTTCTGTACGTATTTTGTGCACTTTTCAGCCATTTCCACTAAGCAAAACGTGGGCAAAAGCAAGCAAAGTTTTTCAACAATAGGGCTATGTTGGTAATGTATTTTATTCTTATCGGATAACTCGATTTACAGGAGTCATCGTGATTTTACAAGACAGACTTAATACCAATATTTTAAAGATTAATACAATAGTCGCATTTTCTCTATTATAATGCACACTTTCTTTTTTCCAACTTAATTAATTCAACTTGGTTGTTTTCATTCACTTCATAGTTATGTGTATTATGTCATTGATATACAAGCACATCATATCTCTACATCACTTTGGTTTTGGTATTTGTTAGTTTAATCTTATTTTAACTTTAAAAATACTGTATTTTTTAAATATTTTCTTAAGTACAATAAGAAAAATTATTAATTAATAATAAAACAATTTTATTATTTTTTCTCATTATACAATTTCATTAGATTCTGCGATTGTCATTGCAGAATCAAAAAAGGAAGGTTGCCTGTAAAACTGATTTTTGCATTAATGCGTTTATTGTTTTTTGAATATTTTGTGAGCAAAAATTACTTGGATATTATTTTTCTAAAAATATCGTGGAAATAAGGTAGGTTGATACAGAAACTATTTATCGCACATGTACTGTATCAAAAGCTTCAAAATAAATAAATAAATAAATAAAAATAAATTTTATCAAATGATGAGATCAGCTGATTAACTGTATCATGTACAATATTTTATACCCCCAAGGAAAATACTGTAGGTCTATGGTAAAATCAATTTCGTTTTCCCATAAACTTCACAACATAAAAACTTTATGTTGTGATAACTTTAACACATCTAACGACAGCACTTTGCATTTCTTTCGTTTTTTGGACAATTTCAAACTGAAGTGAATTTCCTTTGTTGCTAGAGTAATTCATTAACACCTGCACCTAATTTCAAGAGTGGGAGAAGTGCCCAAGGTGGGTTTGAACAAGAGTTTAGACTAATTCATTACATTAGGCGAGGGGAAACATTGTTGAACAATAGTTTAGACCAGATATATTCATGGAAGTGGTTACTTATTACAGTTGTTGTATGCTGTTTCGGACCAAAAATCGATGCCTGCGGTTGTGTTACACAGATGGTCATTTAATACAGGTAACTTATACAAAGACTGTATGGATAAACTATTTGGTGCCAGAAATTTTTGCCCATTTTGACAGGTGCCCATTGAATGCAGGTGGTCGCCTAAGCAGTGTTCACTGTATATACATTTATTCTTTAAATACATGAAATACATGTTTCCATTAAAATTTGCTGTTGAATATTTATTGTCATTCAATACAAAAATATGAAATTATCATGACCATACTATTGAAAAGGTATTCCTATATTACATTTTAATTTCTTGATATGTTCATACATACAATTTATTATGTTTATGATTTTTATATGCCTAAGACATAAAAAGACAGTCGTAGTAATTAACAAACAACTCTACTAAGCCTGTTACATTTAATACCAAAGCCAACCACTATCATATGCTATCAAGCTAAAAATGGCTATAATATTAATATATTACCAAATAATTTGAAACTAGAGGCAGGTGTTAGGCACTATCTCTTAATAGATGTAATAATTATAATTTTTAGTTAAATAATTTAGATCTACTGGAAGAAAAGAATCAGCCCAAAGCGGGACTCGAACCTGCAACTCCTGCTTACCATGCAGATGCTTTACCAATTATGTTACCTGGACCTCCAGTCCAATCCCATTTTCCAGTATATATAACATTATGCTATAACCATCGTTGGTTACTACAATGCCAGCTGGGGACACATCAAGTGTCCTCATCCTGTAAACTCCCACATAAGGCACTCAACCAGCCATTGTATATGCCGGCAAAGTATATATATAAACAATACCCGATAGCATACGGCTTTGGTATTACAATGTATCAAGTTTAGTAGAGTTATTTGTTTATATATATGCCCATCTTCCAGTATGTTATATACTGAAAGACAGGATCAGACTGGAGGTCAGAGTAGCATAACTGGTAATGCATCCACATGGTAAGCAGGAGTTGCAGGTTCCACTCTGGGCTGATTCTTTTCTTCCAGTAGATCTAAATTATTTAATTAAAAATTATAATTATTAAATTTATTAAGAGATGGCACCTAACACCTCCCTCTAGTGTCAAATTATTTGGTAATATATTAATATTATAGCCATTTTTAGTTTGATAGCATACAGTAGTAATTAACATTAAATCTTACTAAAACCAATAATCGGTATTAAATAATCGTAAAATGTACTGCGAACGTTTTCGGTTCCTTCCCTAGGACCTTTCTCAAGCAGCGATTCGTCTTTAGAATAACCTTGAACGATATTTATTGGTCTTCGTTCATGGTTATTCTAAAGACGAATCGCTGCTTGAGAAAGGTCCTAGGGAAGGAACCGAAAACGTTCGCAGTACATTTTACGATTATTTAATACCGGTTATTGGTTTTAGTAAGTGATATTTTTATACTAATTCGGTATTTGAAGATTCTTTAACATTAAATCCTTACATAGAAAGCAAATACAATTAAACCTGTCTATCTCAAAAATGTTATCTCAAAATTCATTTCTTCCTCTGCATTTTCAGCTTAAATTCAATATATTTTTCATGTTTATCTCAAATAATTTTCTCCCGAAACCTCTATCTCAAATTATGGACTTAAGTGTCAATTACAACTACATTTTGATAGCATAAACATAGTTGAGAAACACCTCTTGCAATAGAGTACATAGTTTCAATTAATGCTGCTTTTCTCTGATTGGCTATGAGTTTGGTTTCCATTTTATTAATTAAAGTCAGTCATCAGAAATTACTGACAAATTATTTCTCTTATGTAAAAAATGTTTTATTTATATCTAATACAAGTGTATAAAGTGTATACTGTATTTGCTATTATATTAGTGAAATACTGTACCTCCAATCAAACTTATTACTGTTTACTGTGTAGAAACCTCTATATCTTGAAACCTGCCTATCTCAAATTTTTTTTCTCCTTGTTAGATTCAAGATAGACAGGTCCAACTTTATTAGAAATTTTAATATATCCATTACTCTAAATATGATATTGCTTTTTAGTACATTAAAAATACAAACCTAGAAAACTCTTTATTTTCATTTTCTTCATCTTTATGTTCATTTGTTTCTAAAAAATAAATTGTATTGAAAAAATATAAATACAAATTTTTAAATTATTTAATAAAACTATTCAAATATAATAATAACATATATCTTTCAATATTCAATTTCAAATTCAATATATAACATTTATCTTTCAATACTGAAGATAAATAATAATAATAACAATTTCTGATATAAGTAATAATGAATCTACATCAGTTAAATAAAATAAGAATAAAAATATTAACTTGCCTTGTGTAGCTTCAAACTGTTCTAAGAGACTATTTAAATCTGGTGCTACAAGAACTAAAGTTCAGAATTTTTTAAAATTTACAATAAATTCAAATATAAAACGTATGAAAATTTACGGCTTTTACCTGTTTCATTACTTTTTTCAGAATCATATAAAGACTGTTCATTTTCATCAATCCTATTATTTTCTAAATCATCTTTATTAGAAGTTTTGTTGTTAAATGTATTTATTGGCAAAGTTCTACTTTCCTGACTGATTAGTTTTTGTTCATTATTATTGCTTTTCAATATCATACAAGATTGAGAATTGTCTTTAATATTATTATCGTCATCTACAGTTACAATATCAATTTCTTCATCATCATCTTCAACTCTTGATAGTTTGATTATCCTACCCAACTCAGAACTTTTGTTATATATATGTATTTTATCATTTTTATAATCAATACTATCAATATGAAACATTTTTCTGTCAATCCCAAACTGTACAATCCCAGCTGTCATAGCACTATTCAAAATTAAAGCTGTTTCACCATTTGTTTTGGTATCTGTTACCTTATTTGTTTCTGATCCACAAGTTGATGAATTATTTTCACTATAACAATCATCATCATCCTCCAAAAGTGGGCCTGCTAAAATATCTAGCTGATCAGGCCACACTTTATTCAACTGAAATTTCCTCATTTCTGATTTGAAGTCATTATATTTATCACTGTTAATATGATATGGCTGCAAGAGAAATGATAAAATATTATGTTTAATATATAAATATTAACAGCAAATTTTAATATTTAAATAAATCTATTTAATATAATCTAATACTAAAATAAATTAACACTTTTAAATGTGATGCTGTTTTTAATCAAGAAAATTACTTTCAATCACTTTAATTATATATATAAAAAATTAATTAACCTTAGAAATATTCTAAATAAAATACAAGATAAGTGAACTGTCAAATTCAAAAGAAAATAATCAAACTGAAAAATTTCGAAATTATTTTCATTACTTTTTGTAAACATTGGGCACAGTGTAAGGTAAAGTGCCTTTAATACAGCTGAATAAGCAAGTTTGCTCGAGTAAATGGCATGCCAGGGTCGGGTACTCATGTTCTGTTGCTATCCTCTGAACCATGTACTCAAGCAACACCAACGCTTGGAACACACCTCCACCACGAGTGGTAATGCCAACCAGAAACCTCACAGTTCCCCACGTGTTCCCATCACGTTTAACCCGTATCTTAGAGCAGTACATACACAGACAGCCAGCAAGCATCGGGAACAGATAGCGTACAGGAGATGTCCCATGATTTTCGATATCCTACATAATAAAAAAGACCCTCCAGATCACACCAGGCTTCCCTGTGTTTATTCCATTCCACTGAAAGACAACAGGTGGGGCAAGGACTTATTATACATCAGTTCTACCAAGTGTTCCCTAAGTACCCATGTAAGGGAACACCGAGCAGATATCCAGCATGGGTGGTTCACCACTGCACTTGCTACGTATGCATCCGATCCAGATGTCAAGGCGCACTTTGACAGAGCTACAGTCATCATCAGCACACCCCATCAGTACCACCTTAAATGGCTAGAATCCATAGCCATTTACAAAACAGGCCAAGTAGCCACGTGCGTCAACTGGAAGGAGGAGCTAAATCTGTCGCTGGCCTGGCAGTTCCTTCTGGATGTCGACCCATGGCTACCTCGACCAGCTCATGACCACGTCAAGCAAAACTGACTTCGTCAAAATGACACTCAATTCCGTCGAATTCCACACGCTCCGTTCGGAAGCATTCTTAAGCTAGTTGACCTGAGGAAGAACTGCAAGATAGTTCGAAAACGTTTGTCACCCACTTATATTTCTTATACGTGTTATGCACCAGTAACAGGTTCAGGAAAGTGAGGATTTTGCTCCGGTGCTGAAGTTAGAGTGAACTTTGTAGCAATTAATTTAGGTAATTGAGGCCTTTTTTGAAAATCATATGTCAAAGTTAGTTGAAAATGGGTTTTTATTGCATCTGGCAATTCTAATGATGGATGATTTGCACATGAAATATTATGCAACAACAGTTAATGCCAACAGAAATATTCCACATGAAAGATTTTGAGATTTTACAAAAACCACACATCAACAGATAACATCAAGATTTATTCACAAAAACAGCAGATGTCTCTGACAGTTACTGTTTTTGTGATAAAGGTTGACTTACAAGATGAACAACTACATTGAAAGGTATTCTGAATCACAGTAGCCTCAACATCATTTGAAAATGTCCAATATTGATGAGTGTTTGTAACCAAGAAAGAAGAGGAAATTATTTGAGAAGCAAAAGTTCATGGTTTTAGCCACACAAACCACAAAAGGAAAGAAATAGAAAAATTTGTCATGGTTCCTGATTGAAGGTATTCAAATATCACCCATTTATCAAGTAAAAGTTGAATCTTAAATCAGCAAGGATTATAAAAGTCACTGAAGATGAAGAAGCTGTTCAAATACGTGACAAACATTCTGGACCAAACAAAAATATTCTTATTAGAAGCTGAAAGAAGTGGATCAATAAGTTGACATTGCCACAAGCCTACAATGATCCAATTCCTATACCGGACAAGAAACTTGTGGACTGCTGAAATAGTCAGCTTTCCTGTAGTAGGCAGAGAATAAGTAGTTCTACAAAAGTTTGTCAAGTTTTGCAGGTGATAAACAATGTGTGGACATTGAAAAGGAAGACAACAGCTGGGACAGCAAGGACTCAGAAATGATACATGCAAACTTTTTCATGCAAAAAGAATTATGAGAGTCAAGTTTCTGAAAAGAACAGCTTAAGTCAGTTACCAAGAATTTAATTTTTCTTGGGTCCTGTCAAAGGCAATATTTTGGAAATAAACCAAAAGCCTCAGAATAGCTCACTGTTTTGGCAAATGGGAACAAGAGATGACCATGTGCAATGGAAATTAATAGAAATTATTTTTTTCCAATTTTTTCAACAGTATGGATTTTGACATATATTGTTTTTGCAAAAAAAGGGTTCAATTACTATTATTTACATAATATCCTAAAATAATTACTGACTGAATTAAATTTGAAGTTTCAGTTCAAACATTAAATACTTAAAAATAATATTTTTGTTTAACACAAATTCATTTATAAATATTCTACACATTAATTTGTTATAATATCTACACCTTATCCTTCATAAATTTTAATACAAAAATAAAGAAAATAAAGAAATAAATAATTTCTTTTAAATAAAATAAAGAAAACAATTCTTTTAAAATAAAGAAAACAATCTTAATTTTTCATAATTATTATAGATCAGGGCTTCTTAAACTATGGGTCGTGATCCCATTTGGGGTTGCTTAGCGAAATCTTGGGGTCGCAAGATTTTAATGCAAAATAGTGAAAATAATTCATGAGAGTTTGAAAATGGCAGGTTTTGTATCATAGGTTTCATGAGTTGTGTTTTGTGTCACTTCTGGTGCAGCAAGACAATGATTCAGCAACAATGATTGTAGTGTGAACTAGTGTAGTGTTGTCATTTTTCCGTTGTCTCTGTTCCATTGTAACACAAGAATGAACTGTGGTAGTACACTATTATTGTTTTTGCAAATCTGTATATATATCTTTATTTTATATTTTTTGGGTCACAAAAAAAATCACAATCATAAACGGGGTCGTGAATAAAAAAAGTTTAAGAAGCCTTGTTATAAATCATCACTTTTGAATATTTGCAACACAAAAAAAAAAATTTTTATCTTACCTGAGAATTTTCTGTAAAATTCACTTCATTAGTAAGTGATTGATTAGAAAATTGGTCGAAATTGTGGCAACATATTGTATCAGATAATGACTGATTGAAAATATCAAAAACTGTATCTCTGCTTTCATTACTTAAAATATCTTCCACCTATTTGAAAAGGTAAATATTTACTTAATACACAACTGAAAATAATTACTAAAATAAATTCTATACTATTTTTCTTACTTTAGAATTTCTACATTAGTCATTTAATTACATTAAAATATTTAGAATGCAAAAATAAATAATACTTTAAAAATTTTCTCTAATTATTTACTTGATACAAAGCTGATCCTGAGACATATGATTCAATAGAAGTTTTATCAATAATTCTTTCTGCATTGTCATGTGGACCAATCAAATTGCTCCTAATAGTAAATTATAAAAATACAAATATTTTAAAAATATATTTATGTTATAAATTATTTACTTAATTATATTAAGATATTTAATAAATTTTAAAAATTCTAAGATAAAATATAGCATAGATATTCAGTGAGAAAACATGCTATGTTATCAACATTTTCATCCCATCAAATAAATTTAGGGCACAACCAACTGTATATCTACACCAAAATGGAAAAAGATAGCTACACTATTGTAAAATACTTTTATGTAAAATACTATCAAAAAAATAGTAAAATATGAATTATTATTCATCTGTTGTTGCTTGATAGAGCCATTAAAAATGTAAATGTTATTTCATAGTGGCTTGAGACAATACAGAAATAAATAGGGTAAGAGAAAAAGCATAGTATCATTCAGATAATGTAATAGGGAGAATAGCAATATTGAGCAAACAACTGGCAGATACTTTCTGAAATCATCATGTATACTGCACATTTACTTTAATGTTTTACCATTTGATTACATACACAGCAAGTTTCACTTTATCATCTTTCAACAAATAAAAAAAATTATCACTCTTATTCTCATTTTGTTTAAAATGGTAACAGAGTATTACTTCAGAGTTAAATTTTATAATACACTTCTCTAAAAAGAAAACATTAATGTGCACATAAAATTGAATTGAATAAAATATATTTAAAGAAATAAATTCAAATACTATGTAAAATATATTCATCTCCAGAAGCAGATGAACAGATATAAAATTTTTTTGACTAATTATCTTGGATTAAATCAGTTTATACATAGGTTAATAACTGCTACTTTACAATTGGATTGCTACTTTAATATTAGACAAAAGGTATTAACCCTGGCATCCAGGTAGACTTCCCGAGACAACCTCCTACAAAATGAATCTAAACCATATGTCCTTAAACATTTGGAACAAGTGAAAATTTACAAGACCACCTGCCATAATGCAGCCATAAACTATCACAATGTTGATTCCTTACCCACTGCCTGGAAATGTTATAAGAAATGTTATATGAAACTGTTATAAGAAATGTAAACCTCCCTCCTCTCTTCTTACGTCATACACCCCAGGTTCCGCAATCCCCAGTGTCTTCTCAGCAGTTTGTTTGCCTAACAATACCCATTTAACAAGGGAGAAAATGTTTGCACTGTATAATTTTCTTGCTGGTTTGTTAGGTATGTGCAGAATTTATACATAGATCTAATTACTAGATTACTAATTCAAAAATGTGATGATGATAATTCAGTTAAAGAAAATACAACTCTACTTAAATAAATATACAATATTTAACCACATAATTACAGAAACAAGTTTTTGATTAGAGGCAGTCTAATCTTCAAATCAAAAACTGCAAATAAAACCACAAGTTAGACTCTATTAGTAAGAAGTTTATATATAACAAACACATATTACATTTTATGCAGAAACATTTTACAAAGTATCAATTAGTGTCAATCTTTCAACTGTCCTATACTTTGAGATTTTCTTATAAATGACAAAAATTCTTTATGAATTTTCTGCCACGAGTGTTTTTTCCTATTTATTGAATTTATGTCATATGCCTTTTACTCTGTTGCTAGCAAGCTTTAATTAAGTCTAATAAAACAGTTTTCTTGTCCAAAAAGTGTCTCATCAACATTAATGCATGTACATTCATATTTTCTGCTGCTTTCTCTAATGTCATTACAAAAGCACTAATTGGTTAAAATGTCAAAATAGAAGGGAAGAGCAATTTTAAAACATAACAGTGTCCATGCAGCTTAAATTATAGTAAAACTTTAAAACTTGTAAAATTAAAACCTAACTTTACAGTAAAATTTGTGAAATTAAATTACAGTAGCAGCTCTAAGGTGCTACTGTAATTTAATTTCACAAGTTTAATTTCACTTTTCAAATTTAATTTTGTTTGTGAAAAGTGATTTAAAGCTGCATGTTAGCATTTCTGTAATCAGTCCATAATATCAAACTAGCAGACCAGGCTTCAAACATTTGTTTCACAATTTTTTCAGTTTTGACAGAGAGTGTGCATGATGCATTGAAGACAGCTATATTCTTTCAGGTGAAGACAGCTATATTCTTTCAGCTATATTCTCTATATTCAGAGACCCATGTCTCATCTGTCAATAACTGATCCAAATATTCATCTCTTCATCTGTGGTTGCATTCAAAAAATGCCGAGATGCAAAGCAACAATTTGTTTCTGCTTGTATCCCAGTGTAATCATTCATGGAACTAATCTTGCACAAATCTTTTGATAGTGAAGGTAAATAGTGACAATTTCATAAAGGACAGATCAAAAAACAATAGAAAATACCCATTAAGCTCATTCATAATGAAACACCTGTTTTTACAAACATGTGCATCAACACAGTTGTCAACTTGTTGGTGATAATAATGGGACCAGAACATGGTTCTTCATAGAGATTTGTTTTTCCTTGACTAGTTGACCCACTTATACACATTTCCCTCATTCATAATATCATCTCCATAAGCTGATGCTACATTTCAATAGATCAAATATTTTTTTGCAAAAAAAAATTTCTTAACCACTTCTACTACTTTAATAATAGTTCAGTAGAAACAAATATTAAAAGATCAAACAGTTAGTGCCAGCAATCAAAAGATATATTATTGAACATACCTTGCAATTGGCAGAGTTGTTGATTGGCATGCTTTTCTATAAATAGCTAATAAATATTGTCCACAACAAACAGAAGCATACAGAAGCTCAAAACTTTTCTAGAAATTCAGTGAACAATAAAAGAATATCTCTGACCTTATCAATAAAAGCTTTGATCAATGATCTGCATAGATGTTATGTGCAAATGGTTCTTACTTTAAAAACAACCCTTGCATCAGCTATCATCAGCTATTTTATATATGTGAAACACTTTAATAGTCTGTAAATTGAATTTTTTTATTACTTAAAAAACTTATTAATGAAAAACATACAAATATACCAAAAAAACCATTAAAACTATTTAATGACAAATTTTTATTTTTACAAAAAAATTTATTTATTTGAGACTACATACAAGATGAGTCAATTTCATTCAGTCCCATCACACACTGTTGAGGTAATAACAATTCCACGGAGTCGACCTTTTATTGTAGGCTACTCGTCCGCCATCCGATGCAAAAATGTTAAAATAGGTCGACTCCACCATAGAATTGTTATTACCTCAACAGTGTGTGAAGGGACCAAATGAAATTGACTCATCCTGTATGTATAGTCTCAAGAAATATATTTTTTCTGTAAAAGTAAATTCGTCCCGGCAAATTTTTAAAAATGTTTTTATAATGACACAAATGTTTTTAATATTCATTAATATATAAATACTGAATTACTTGATGTTGTTCATGAGTAACAGGCAAATACACTTACATAAAGCTCTTTGTCTCCAATGGCTTCTTCATTAGAGAATAAGTTTTATCTTCTGAAATCGATGGATCTACTGATAATGAATCAATGGATTTCTCACAAGATACATTAGATGCCGATAAAGATAACGGAGAGAAAAGCAATAGTGATGCATCTAATGTATCTTGTGAGAAATCCATTGATTCATTATCAGTAGATCCATCGATTTCAGAAGATAAAACTTATTCTCTAATGAACGATTACTCTCCCAATGAACATGTTAAGGCACCTG